TCCGATGTTTAAAAGTCAACCAGGTTCTGATTTTCTGCTGAGACCACCACAAGTAAAGCATGTAGTAGAGTCAGAATAAAGGCATGACTTGAACATAAGGGATGTAGTATGAAACTACTGCAATAACACAGTTAAAGCAGTAATTGCAGTAACATGAATTTGGGGGGCTCTTAGTATATACATAAAACTTATGTTCCTATGGTACTATGGTCTGTGACTTATACAATAACTTCTAAAATGTATGTACTTGGATAAAAAAATACCTCACTGATTGTCATAGTTAGGGTTACTATTTTTATGACGAAACACCAAGACCAAGGCAACTTGGAGTAGAGCAGGTTTATTTGGCTTATACATTCTAAGGGAAGTCAAGACAGGAACTCAAACCAGTCAGGAACCTGCTAGCAGGCAGGAGCTAATGCTGAGGCCATGGAGGAGTGCTAATTACTGGCTTGTTCCCATGTCCTTTTAAAACTTGTTTTCTTATAGAACTCAGGACCATCAATCCACAGGTGTCCCTACCCACAATGATCTGGGCTTTCTTCCATCAATCACTAATTAAGAATGTGTTCTACGAGTTTGCTGCATACAGTGTGATCTTAAGGAGGTATTTTTCTCAATAGAAGTTCCCTCCTCTCAGATGACTTTAGCCTGAATCAAGCTGAAATAAACTAGCCAGGACAATTGATAAAATGCCAATAAATCATCAGAATTTTCATTCAGGTTTTTCATGAGATTTCAATAATGTAGTCACATCCCCTTACTTCACTTCTAGCTATGGTTTTCATGCAATCTCTACCATATCTGCCGTTAATTTCTGTGTTGAAATCTCGAATAATCAAAATCATTTGGAATCAACTTTTTTAAACGTCTTGTTAGTTTTCATGTTTGACATTGTCCCAGTGGCCATTAATATTCTTAGTAGCATTTAGAACAGTGAATCTTTTCAGGTTTTCAATTTTTTTGTTCAAATCTGTCAGAGGAATCACTATGTGTGGAAGCTAGTCTTATACAAAGTGCTTATTAAATAATAAGACTTGAAAATTGAAATTATTCCTTGGTCCATGAGCTGAAGAATGATTACTGTAGCAGCAGATATGAAAAAGAATTGAACATGTTGAATGCTGTCAGCATCTTGGGTGACCAGGTACATATTGAATTTACAGTAACATTTTGAAAAGGGTCATTTGCTTAACAGTTGACTTAAGTTACTCAGTGAGTCATGCAATAAAATAGATGTGTAGTTATCAAATCATTATTATACCTAGGATACTTGGAGCCCTATGGGTATGTAGGATGGTAAATTGACATCCTTTCCACTGAAACAGCTATACTAGCCCATAACAAGAGATTTAGCTTGATGCCAAGTATTGGACGTTATTCTCTGGTTACTAATGTCATGGATAGTTTCCTAATGTAATAGTAAGTTACTCATCTGCACTGAAAAACCTGTTGTCTAGTGAAGCCACCTTCCTTCAATAATTTGTATAGATCTGGATAATTTACTTAAACTTCTACATTGACAGTTGCTGGTTTAATCATGAGCTTTTGTGTTGTTGAAATGACTTTCTTTCTTAAACCCTAAAATATAACCTGTGCTAGGCTCAAACTTTTCTTCTATAGTTTCTGTACTACTTCCAGATCTCATAGAACAAAGAGAGCAGAATTTCCTCTAAATTGAGTTTAAGATAAAGGCAATGTTGTGGCTAGTTTTAGTCTATACATAATACTACAGCTTTCTCTACTTCATCTTGAAGGCTGCTTTTATTTCTAATGTTCACTTTCATAGGACTTTAAATTTTCTTTACAAGCTTCTCGTTGCAATAATGATTTAATGTGAGAACTAAGTGACTCTTCTTCTTAGTGGAACACCAATGAGCCATTATTGTAGCATACTGATATAGAAAGGCAAAGGGAACTGGTCAGTGGTTCAGCCATAATATGTACAGTTGCCAGGTTCAATATGTATGACACAGAAATAATTGCAGTAATACTGTAAAGCTTCCTGAATACAGATCACCACAGTGGGTGTAATGATAGAAAAGCTTCAAATAGTGAAATAATTCTTTTAAAATGTTGCATGGCTGACAAGCAAATTACACAGTGTAAGAAAAAAAAGCAGTGCTGGAAGACTTACTTGACAGGGGATTGCCACAAACCTTCAGGTTGTAAATATACAATATTTGCAAAGCTGAATAAATCAGGAAACAATAAAGGAATGTTTGTTCTTTATGATAAAAATAATTAAAAGTGTAGGTTAAGGTAAAGATAGCAAAGACTTGGTGTATGCGGGGACAGGCACTGGTGGTTGTCAGGCTTCAGAGAGGAGGAAAGGAGTAGGTGAAGGAAGAAGTTATTATGGAATTCAGTAAACCAGAATAGATTCGTGTTGCTCCAAAGCACAGATCATGACATTGTTTTGTTTTGGACATGTGTTTAACTTTTTTTCTTGAATATCTGGGATCATAAATTTAGTGATTACTGATGAACTGTGACAGAACAGAGTTATCCTTTACAATCATTTCCCCTTAAGTTTAGTCATCATTGATAAACAGAGGTATCTTTTATAATCATTTTTACTCATTAACCTCATAACCCAGTTTTTAACAATCCAGACAGCTTGTTCTCATACTGGTAGTTCTTGTGGCTTCAAGGACACTAGATGGAAAGAAAATCTCCAAGCCAGCCTGGGCAGATTGCCATGTCCTGAGCAGTCAGTGTATTAACCCCTAATGGTTATGGTGGCAAGAAAAATCCTCAGGACAATATTGCTGCAGTTATCATTCAATTTCAGGTATAACATACTGTTTTACATTGCATATCTCTAAATAGTTTGTTTATGTGTCTAATTCTGGCATTCTTTTGCTTCTTGGTCATATGACAGCACAGTGGCTCTGCATGAACTAAATTTCCTAAGAAAGGAAGGTCCTGAAACCTCCTTCTCTTTAACATCTTTCTATACTATTCTTTGCCCATCAGTATATAAGTTTCTGTGTAAGGCAAAGGTAACTTCAGCCAATCTAACTTTGTTGCTATACATGCCATGTCTGAGTATATAGTAGGAAGACTCTTGTAATTTGATATGTGGACAACTCCTCTAGCCCAGTGGATAGTGTTGAATTTTTGAAGTTTACTTTGTTTTGGTTATCTTGTTCCTGAGTAAGTGTAGGGGCAAATGTTTTGAAGAACTGTCTCAGAGCCTCATAAAGAGGTCTCTGGTTTCTTTATGTATCTCACAACCTCGAAGGTTTAAGGAAGACCTTCAGTTAGATAAAGATGTCTCCCTAAAAGCAAGAGGGGTAGCAGGCTCAGGACTCTTTGGAGAAGGCATAAATGGTTCATAAGAAATTTTCCAACAATCCAATATTCCCAAGTCATATAAATATTAAAAGCTTCCAACAATGCAACATGTGAAGATCAAAAACAAAAGTAGCATAGCAGCCATCATGTGGTTCAGCTTTGTGTACCCTTGTCAAGTAGCTGTGTTGGCTTTATGATTTTGCTGCTCCCATGAGATAAGGCTGTGCCACGGTGTCCCATTTATAAAAATATCATCAACATCCAGGAAAAAAATTAATAACCGAACACAAAGAGGTCAGTGTGGGATAGGAGATCTTTATGTTTCCTTTAACTGTTGTTAGAACATTCCCAAATCTAATACAAGGCTAGAAAGAGAACTAGGAAATGACAATACCATCTAATAATCCAAGACTTGCTCAGTCATCCAAAAGCAAGAGTTTCTTCTCTCCCAATGGTTGTGCCACACACCTTTAATCCCAGCATTTGGGAGGAAGAAGCTGGTAGTTCTCTGAGTTGAAGGCCAGCCTGGTCAACAAAGTGAGTTCCAAGACAGTTAGGGCTACTCAGAGTAACCTTTTCTCAAAAAATAAAACTAACAAACATAAAGAGTTTCTTCTATTTGACAGATTTTTTTTTGTCTTTGAGCATCATAGGTAATTTAAATTTCTCTCTTTGGTCTTTCATTACTTTTTTAATGGCTTGTATTTAAAGGGTACAGGAAGTAGACCTTTTGCCTCTATCTCCAAGAAGTCAGTAATGTGTAGTATCGGACTTCTAGGCATGAGTAATCAGGCTAGGGCAGGCAGAAATTGCTAAAAATAGATTAGAATAAATGCAGGGTATGGAGAGAGAACTAAGAGAGCTCCACAAGAATTGAACCAGAGGGGCCAGACAGGCTGCAAAACTAAGGAGACATAACTAGGTCTTGTAAGTAAGAAAGGCTTTGTAGGGATGGGGATAGAGAAGATGTGTGAACAGAGAGAATATCCCACAAACGTCCTATTAGAGATGTTTCCAGTTGCCCAAGTGTCTGCATAGAGTAGAAGCAGGAATCTCCTACCACATCTTCCTTAGCCTCACATATGACTTGGTCCTATCTCTAACTTAGCCTTTGGGTACAGGTATAGCACACAAGTGAAAATGAAGGAGTGAAGGAGAAAATGAAGTAACTACAATTTATCAGTTACTGGTAAATTCATTTTCTGAGTTTGAGAGTCAAGTGAGAAATTATTTTATGTAGTTTACCTAAACACTATTATGGGATTGTATGTAGAAGTTTTCTATTTTAAGTGCCTTGGTTTTAGAACAAAAAGGTCAGGAAATTTGAGATTCAAATACTCAGGTTGTCTTATCCCAGTGTTCCAGGGAAAGCTCAGGGAAATGAAATGCTCTGTTAACAGTTAACAGTAGCTCAGGTGTGCTTGAGCCATGACATGAGCAAAGGTCTCTGCATTACTAGTTATTTGCTCTTTACCCTCCACCCCACTGTGCAGGCAGTTATGGGTATGAATGCTCCACACTCGATTAGTCAGGAGGCAGTTGCCACTGACAGTTGCATTTTCAGATTCTGCTTCAGGGATGAAAAATGCTGAAGTAGTCACATTTTATCACTTACATGTTTCCTAATAATATTTAACTTTTATGTAAAAAATATCTAGGAGATAAAAAAGCATGCTAGCTGGCAAATCTACTCCCTCTACCCGCAGCTGTTAACATCAGAACTAATCTGAAGTCCTCTGGCGTGTGCTTCAGGAGGGGAGCAGACAGCTTGTGATCAGAGTCACATTTGTAGTTCTCATTTTTTCCCCGTGGTACAAGTGCCACCACCAATTGTTTTTCACAGTCAACTTTTGAGAACATTGAGATAATTTGGCATTTAAATTTACACATGTTTTGGTGAGCTTTAAAGTCTTCAGAGAATCACATTCTTCCCTCTTGAAGGAGCATCTGCCATTGGAAACATCTCCCGTGCCCTTCTTGAAACTCTCTGTTCTGCTCCCGAGAATGGCAGTGAAGAGCTTTGAAGTTTGGGATTATGTTGTGTTTGCAGGCCTCTTCGTCATTTCCTCTGGAATTGGAGTGTTCTTTGCCATAAAGGAGAGAAAAAAGGCAACATCTCGAGAATTCTTGGTAGGAGGGAGGCAAATGAGCTTCGGCCCCGTAGCTTTGTCTCTGACTGCCAGCTTCATGTCAGCTGTCACTGTCCTCGGGACTCCTGCTGAAGTCTACCGCTTTGGGGCAGCCTTCTTCCTGTTCATCATTGCGTATGCGTTTGTGGTCTTCTTCACATCTGAACTCTTTCTTCCCGTGTTCTATAGATCTGGCATCACAAGCACCTATGAGGTAAGAGACCACTTCCTTCCTCTCCAATGCCTTGGTAGATGCCACTTGTTTTCCAATTGAAGGGTTTGTCTTTTCCTTGGTTTCTTGTTGTTCCATTATACATATCACCCTGACATCAGCAGTGGGATACTATTTTCAAGGCAGTTCCACATTGGTAAGAAGTCTATATGTATCATTTGTGGGAGTGCTATGTTTTGTCACTAGTAATGGCACAATCATTGACTATTTCCATGATTTAATGAGGACCAATGTCTAAAATATATTTTGGAAAAGTGAGAAATGTTATTTATATTTATAATTTATATTTAGTTGGTGAAAGATAATGAGAATATATTATCTATTATCCTTAGCATGATCATTCTGAAAGGCAAACAATTTTTCAGCTAAGAAAACTGAGATCTAGATAGGTAAATTAGGTATGTTTTAATATTAGATGAAAATTTACTCAGAAGCTAATTTGTATATGGTCTTTTTAAAGGCCTGTCTATCAAAGAGTAGATCTCTATTGGTAATTATTAATAAACTTCAGTTTTAAGAATCAAGTGGGAATATTTTGTAAAAGTGAGAAATACTTTAGTAGGAAGTAATTCTGAAATAATAAAAGTATGTAAATAATTATAATGAGTGGGAAATAGACCACGGAATTTTGACTTTGAAACAGTGCTCAATAAAACCAACAAGCTCAAAACTGAATAAGCGGTAAGTTGTTCTGGAGCCAAATTGGAGTGAATGTGGCCCTGGAAAGACAGAGTCAGTTTACCAAAGGTTCTGTGCTTCCTTTAAAAAGACTGAACAATTTGCTCACATGGAACAATCAGCCTTTTCACATTCTTGTAACTTGTAACTAATTTTGGTAAAGTGAATATGATTCTGCAAAGGCAATTAAACAAACTCCAAAGGCATAACTGAAGATATTTAAGACTCTGCAAATTCACATGGTAAATTTTGATACAAACATCTTTAAAAAGTACTGTCTTTATCCTAGAATGCTTTAAAACACTTAGCACTGCGACAAGAGGACATGAAGGTTATGTACCTGTTACGTTATTTTGGGATTGGCCCATGCTTTACAAGAATTGGCAGTATGGCCTGGAGGTAAACAGGAGATTTATTTGCCTCAGAGAGACAGAAGGTGGGGAATAAGAGATAAATAAGCACTGGGCTGAGCTCCTGGAGTTCAGTTAAAGAGATGGAGGAGAGATTAAATGAGCAAGAAGGGTCAAGACCATGATGGGGAAAACCACAGAGACAGCTGACCAGAGATAGCAGTAGCTCATAGACTCTGGATTGTCACCTGGGGAACCTGCGTGGAACTGAAATAAGCCCTCTGAGTGTGGATGACAGTTATGTGGTTTTATCTGTTGGGAGGGGGCCTGGTAGTGGGAACAGGACTTATCCCATGTGAATGAACTGGCTTTTTGGAGCCCATTCCCTAGGTGGGAAACAGCCTGATTCAGGGTGGAGGGGCTTGATTCTGCCTCAACGTGGTATCCCAGACTTTGTTAACTTCCCAAGTTTGGCTTTTATCACCTCTAAGCAGTGGATGGGGGGGGTCAGAGGGAGGAGGAGGAAGGGAGGTGAGAGAAGGGAGAGGGAACTGGGGTTGGAATGTAAAATGAAAATTTTTTAAATAAATAAAAACAACAACAACAAAAGAGACAAATACAGAATATAGAAGAAAAGGGAGAAGGGAAAGGGAGTCAGGGAAATGGGGGAGGAGTATTTGTCCTAGAGGACACAGGATTGGTTTTGGGGAGATACATAGGAAAATGGTGGTTCATGAAGGTACCATGCTGGGATGAGGTGTTTAATTTTGATTGGGCATGTTAATTGGGTGAGCCAAAGGGAACCTCTGATTAGCAAACCGCAATACTTTGGTAGCTGGACCTCAGTAGACAGACTCAGAAGGAGGAAGTAGCTAAATAAGGCAAGGGACCTTGGGGGCTAGCTTAAGGAATGAAACCTACGTTTTTAACAATGCAGAGGGAATTGAGAGAAGGAAAGGCCTGCCAGAGCAATGCCCACTACGCTCAAGCTGGTCAGAGTACATTCAGGGATGATTAAAACGTTTCAAACAATTAGGAGTTTGGATCCTAGGCCTAATGAAAATTACAGCTTCTGTGTTTTGCTTCTGGGAATACAACCATGATACTACTATACAAGCAAGCAAGATGACATAGCTGGTCTAGCTCTGGAACAAAAAGTGAACACAAAAAGACTAGAGGAAAACTGGCTGACTGCCCACCTCCAGATATGTGTGTAGGTTAGGCCACCATATACCTCAAGCCATTGATTTTGAAGTTGACTATAGCTACATGGGAATCTGGAAAAAGAATGGAGGAATAGCCATTATCCTCAGAGTGGTAAGGTATAGTCACTCTTGACTTCTGAACCCATTATTTTTGGGATGGGTGTTGTTGTTGTTTTTCAGCTGCAGGCGATGGAACATGAACCATGTAACTCAACAGAACCCACTTGAAGTTTATTGGGGAAAGAGAACAAAGGGAGGGGTAGGTGTTGGCCTACTGGGAGCAGAGATAGAAGGGGAAGGGGAACAGAGATACAAGGTGGAGAAGGGAGAAGGGGAAAGAAAGAAGGGGATAAGGCAGCGAGGGAGGAACAGGTGGAAGGTGCTCTTTTAAAAGGGAAAACTTGCACATGCTTACAGAGTCCTTATACAGCCATGTAATGCATGGCACAGCCATGCAATACAGGGCCCCTTGAGCTAAGTATCTGCATATTCTGCCCATTCTCGGGGGGTGGGATCAGCATAATGCCAGTATACAAACAATGGGTATTATAGTTTTCTTTAAGTTACTGTGATAAAACACTGCTCAAAAGCAACTTGGGAAAGAAAATGTTTATTTCATCTCATAGGTCACAATTCAACATAGAAGGAAGCTCAAGCAATAATTCAAGGCAGGAACCTGAGGCAGGAACAGAAGCAGAGACCATGGAGACATACTAGTTACAAGGCTTTCTGAACCTGCTTTCTTATTCAATCCAGGACTACCTTCCCAAGGGTGGCACTTTCTCTAGCGGTCTAGTTCCTCTCTCATCAATCGTTAATCAAGAAAAAGCCCCACAGACTTGACAGAGTTAATTACTCAAAGTTCCTTCTTCCTTGATTTTAGTTTGTTTCAAGCAGGCAGAAACTAACCAATATAGTACAATATAGCAATATATATATATATATATATATATATATATATATATATATATATAATCTCGAGTTAGGTGCTTTGATTCACAGTGGAATTTCAAGATGAAACTATGCATCTGTGAACTTTATTAATATTCCATCTCATGAAAAGCTTAGGAATTATTTTTGTTCATTTGTTAACAATTATGATTAGCTCAATTTCAATAGCATGCATTTTCATTACCTCCATCTTGATGGTTTATAATTAGACTCCTCGTGTCGTCTTCATTTCAGTTTACATTTTCTTTCTTTCTTTCTATTTCTGTGCTAATAAGCCCAGCTTACTATTTACTCTTAAATTGCTTAAAATGTGTTTTATATTCCATAATTATTTCCAGCTTTTTATTGAATGACCCTTAAACTTCCTACTTCTAAGTTTTCATAACAAAACACATAGGCTTATAATGCCTTGTACTGTGATCTCTGAGCATTAATGTTAAATCAAATTTGCTAAATTAATTTGTAGTTTTTCTGCATATTAGAGTCTGTGGTATTATTTTGATAATATTTTGGTAAGTTGTACGTTTAAATATTATAGAATATTACTTAAGCAAATTAAGTGATATTGTAAACTACTTGCCATAAAAATAAATATTTAGTACCTAATAAAGTCTAACCTAACATTATGAGGATTTTAGTTCAATCTATGGAGGAATTAGCTTTTAAAATTTGTAGATAGGTAATAATAGTGCTTGAATGAGGAATAACATGTTTGATATAGTTTATGTTTTAGGGACATATTCTAGTTGAATGTCAAGAGTGATTTTAGGGTTTTGACCTCTGAAACAGTTGGGCTAACTAGGAGTCTATCAATCAAACTACAGAAGAAACATAATTTTAAAGTAGTATCATAAGGGATACAGCAAGTGTCTGTGCTTGAAAGTGTGGAGTAGGTATCAGCCTCCTTTCATAAAATCGATGTGTGTTATGAGAGCTTAAGGGGATTAAATTCGTATTATTACTATTTGGGTTTGAGCAACAATGGAAAGTAGATTTACTGCATCGTGAGTTAAGAAGTACTGTGGCCCGGGCCGGGGCTATGGTTCTAAGAAAACAAACAACATGATGATACTAAATGTTACCTCTGGGACTTTTAAAACCTAGCATGAAATATGCTATTTTTCTGTTATACTCAGTGTCTGCTTTCTATTGCTGTTAAAAGCTTATATATCCAGGAAAGACAACCAATAGGTGAGTGAAAAATACATTTAAAGGAATAGCCATTATAATCAGATGTAGAAATATCATGCATGAGAAAATAGTCTTCAACTAGAAGGAGATACAAGCCTGTAAGTTGATGGAGTCAGAAGCAGAGGACTACTAGAAGACACCAAGAATTCAGAGAAGCTCAAAGTGTATTTACTATTAGGCATTTCTGTGGGAATGTGCCACTTCAACAATGATCTGGTGTGTGGAAATTAATTTTGGAAAGCTTGATCTTCAGAAATGCAATGTTATGAATTTCTAGTGTTTTAAATCACCCATACCCATACATAGCCAGACAACATGATGGCCTTAAAAATACTCAGTGTGCTAGGTGGTGGTGGTGCATGCCTTCGATCCCAGAACTTGGGAGGCAGTACAAGCAGATGTCTGTGTGTTCGAGGTCATCTTGGTCTACAGAGTGAGTTCCAGGACAGACTCTAAAGCTACAGAGAAACCTGCCTCAACACCCTCCAAAATACATTCAGTGTTTCTGAGCAACAGAGCTCAGAAGAGAGAATATGCATCTGGATAGGCATGCCAGCAGAATTAATCTTCCTGAGAGATAAGTAAAAGTGTTGGGAACAAGCCTGAAGATAAATTTGAGGAGAATTTTTCTCTCATTTTTTTCCGAGGCAGTGTTTCTCTGTATTGTTTTGGATTCTGTCCTGGAACTCACTCTGTAGACCAGGCTGGCCTCGAATTCACAGAGATCCTCCTGCCTCTGCCTCCCATGTGCTGAGATTAAACGTGTGCACCACCACCGTCTGGCTTCTATCTCATTTTCAACTAACATTAGAAAAGCAGAAAAAATTAAAGAGCTGTTGGTGCCACTATCATGTAAATGACACTTATTTTACCTTTACAAATATCTTGCCGTGATGGGAATTCTTTTTGTTCATAGGTGCTGCAACTGGGTAGGACTGTTCTCTTATGGAATGTCAGATACATAATGATCAGCTTTGAAAACATACATGTATAAGCAATAAAAAGGACTCAGTAGGTTATTTATAGATATTTGTTCATACAGATACAGACACATATGCATACACCTACACCTAGGTATGTAGCAATAATAGTCAAAGATAAGGAGGCTATCAACTTGATGCGGTCATAGGAGGGATTCGAAGGAGCGTAACTGGAAGGGGCCAGAGGGAGAAAAGGGAAGGGGAAAGTGATATAATTATATTTCAATTAAAATATTAAAAATATAAAAATAATAATTACCAGTCTAGAAATGAATAATGACTAATCTGGAGAGTAAACTGTGAGAAGGCACAGGTATAAATTCAGGTAGACAGGTGTGGCCAGACAGCAGTACAAACCAAGCTGTAGAGGCACACATTGTTTTGGTGTCAATAGTGAATCACTGGAGGTTTTGAGAGTGGTAACCAGACCTTTCTCAAGGGACACAAAGTGGTGAGCATGAGTTAATAGAATACGCAAAGACTTGGTTTTATAGTAACCAATGAGAGGGCTACAGAGCTATTCCAGAGAAGAAAAAACAAAGATTTAAGCTAAATTTTGGGCAGAAGGAGTATAAAAAATAAATTTCTATTGGTGGGTGAAGCAGAGAGACCCCTGGGTAAAAAAAAAGATATGACCTAAATTTTGATGCAAGCATCCCACTTACCTTCCATAACTACTATAAGAAGAACTAGATTTTAATATGTTTGACTTTTAGCAATCCATGCTTTTTTTTCTCCCGCTGCCTCTAAATAGTATCATAAACCCAAATCCTATATTCAGTGAAATACCAAGAAAGTGAAAAATACTAGCATCTTGTGGTTGGTTGAGTAAGAATGGCCCCCACAGGCTTCTATATCTGAATGCATGGTCATCAGAGACTGTCATTACTTGGGAAGGATTAACAGGTATGAATTTTTTGGAGGAAGTGTGTCACTAGGGGTGGGCTTTGAGGTTTCAAAATCTCAAGCTAAGTTCAGTGTGTCTCTCTCTTCCTTCTTCCTGAAAACAAGGATGTAGGACTCAGTTACCTCTGCAGCACCAAGTCTGCCTGCAGAGCACCGTGTTCCTCTCCATGATGATAATGGACTAAAGCTCTGAAATTGTAAGCCAGTCCCATTTAAATGTTTCCTTTTATAAGAGTTGCATGGTCATGGTGTCTCACAGAAATAGAGTACTAAGACACAACTCTTGTGTACAGTTCACTGACTGCATGTCTTTCTCTGTGTTCTAGTACCTGCAGTTACGATTCAACAAACCAGTTCGATACGCAGCAACAGTCATCTACATTGTGCAGACGGTGAGAAGGACTGTGGCAGGATTGGGAACTCAGGGTGACAAGAAATAGCTTCAGTTCTGTTTATTTTGGGGGGAAATGCTCTCAATTTAAGGACAGCTTTGATGCTAAGAAGTTACTATCTTCTAAAGATAGCATTTTAAAGATGTATAATTATCTTGGGACAAATTCACTCAGCATAGACTCCTTATTTCTGGACTAGCTACTAGAAACAAATTGTAAGATCGGCAAGGTAGCCCAGGCTTTTAATCTCAGCAGTGTGAGACAGATGCAGGTGGATATCCCTGAGTTCATGAACACTCTGGTTTACATAGTGATGTTAGCCAAGGCTATGAGTGAGAACTTGTCTCAAGAAAGAAACACATACACACAAAAATACATGTGTGTACACACACACATACACACATACACACATATATACATATATATACACATATACATTCAAGCACAAATTGTATAAATAATATAAATATAAAATAAAAAAACAAATTGCATCAGAAGCCACAGAGAAAATGTTTTTCTTCAAATTTACTTCATCTTCCAACCTTTTAAAGATTTAATTATGAGCTGGGCAGTGGTAGCACATGCCTTCAATCACAGCACTTAGAGAGTAGAGGCAAGCAGACATCTGTTAGTTTGAGACAAGCCTGGTCTACAAGAGCTAGTTCTAGGACAGGCTCCAAAGCCCCAGAGAAACCCTGTCTCAAAAAACCAAAAAAATTAATTATGGAATGATCTGGTGATCTGGTAGGTTGTTTTGTTGCTGGAAATTCTTCTGCCTCTGTATCTCAAGTCCTGAAATCAGTTATGCACTACTATGACTGATGTGATTTTTTAAACCGATAAACTGAGTCACGCCAGAACAGTCTGCTTTTCTCTAAGCATCTTTCCTTTACTGCAGTAATTTCCATAACATGCTTACTTCCTTCTTATGAGTTCTTACCCACGTGGGCTTTGGCATTCTTTAAGCTGTCCAAGGTCATCTGTACACACAAAAGTTGACTCCTGCTACTCTCCAAGTACTCTCTGTTACAAGATAACTTCCTGCCTTCTTAAAACCTTGAAGAATTTATCTAAAGTGGCAGCAAATAATACTTTCTTTTCCAGATGTTAACAATATTTAATTAAAAAGTGACTGCATAAGAGTACACAATCTATCCCAATCAGTCTAACATTTTTTTAGATTATAATTTACATTTTTTAAGATTATAATTTAAATACATTTCTCCCTTCCATTTATTCCCGCCAAAACCTCCCATATGCCCTATCCTGCTCTACTTCTAATTAATTGCTTCTTTTTTCACTGATTATTATTATCACTTGCATATATTCACATGTATATATACATATATTCCTAAACATAACCATTTCAGTTCATATAGACTTCTTGTATGTATGCTTTCAGAACTGACTGTTTGACACTGTATAACCAGTTGGTAAAAAGCAATACTTCTTGAACAGCCCATATTTGTATATTAAAACAGGGCATTCACATGGGATTCATATTCATATACTTCTAGATAATAAAATTCAGTTTAAAATAAAATGAAAGTTAACTAATTTCCACCAGCGAAGCAATTGCAAATATGTAAATTAGAGCAAGCTCTGATCATAGAGGCTATCTTTGATGTGTCTTCCTTGCATAGTTTTTCCTCAGAGACATTCATTCCCATGCCTATTTTAAAGTTAGAGTTTTTGTTTATTTGTTTTTGCAGTTCTTGGTTTTGCTTTTGTAGGAAATTACTGAAATGAGCTTCATGCTTTATCAAAGCTTCTCATGAGGTCAGCAGAGAACACATGGTGTGCATGTGTGAAGGGAATGAGAAGAGGCAGATTTGAGTCTGTTTTCTAAATTACTTTCAAGTTTTAAATTAAAAAGTATTTTATATTCTTTTCATGTGTTTGTATGTGTCCTGTGCATGTGTGTATATTATGTACATTTGCGTGTATACAGGTCCAAAATTGATATCAGGTATCTTCCTGGATTGCTTTCTCATATTATTATTTTGTTATTTGATACAATCTTATTTTACATACAAATGCCAGTTCCCTCTCCCTCCAGTCCTCCCACTACCCACACCTTCTCTCTACCCCCAACCCCATCCACTCATATTATTCTTTAAGACAGGGTCTCCTAATCAATCCCAGACTCACATATACAGCCATCCTGCCTAACCAATCTGCTTCAAGGATCCCTCTACCTTCTGAGGCTTTAATTACAGGGACACTGCCATGCCTAGCCAGCATTTGTATAGATTTTGCAGACCCAAATCCAGTCTACTTGCTTGAGGAAGCCATCCCAGTAGTCCATAAAGCTTCCAGAGTTGCTGTTTATCTTTTAGAAAATGCCACATACAAATATAACACATTAAAATGAGCAGGAACATTTAAAATCCAACCGTCTTTCTTCATCTTGTAGGTGAATTTCCCCCTACAAATAATTAGGGAGTAAGCAAGCCACTTTAAAACAGGAGCGTGTGAGAATGCAATGTTTGGAGAACAAGCTGAAGGAAGTAAGTTATTCAGACTAAGGTCCATAAAGAACTTCCTAGTCAGGCTTTTCATGCCACTTTCTGTTCTGTATCTACACCAGATTCTCTACACGGGAGTCGTGGTTTACGCCCCTGCTCTGGCTCTTAATCAAGGTGAGTTATTGGAATGTTTCACCTCAAGATTTCTGAATTCTCAAGTTTGAAAAAACATATATATTTGATACTTCATGAGAGAGATACCCTAGTAGTGAGTGGGTTTGCAATGTTGATAGTAGTTACTACATGTGCAAAGCTGCGTAGTGATCTTGGGAAGTACTAGTTCCTCAAAAACTTAGCTTCAAAACCATTGCCTGTATTGCCTAGAAGTATAGCAAATGTACACTTAATATTAAAAATTAGCAGCACGCTTGATATTCATGTACTTCCTCCATGAAATGTTTACATACTGCTTTACAAATAAGTGACAGAAATAAAAACTTCAAAATCAGTATAGGTGGCTTCAGACTGCTCAGTAGGCATAGTTAAGATGCAACAACAAAGTGGACCGAAAATTAAAGCTATAGAATCAGAGGAGGTCAGTTTTTAGTGTACTTTTCCCTGAGAAGTTTGCTTAAATGTTTTTTCTTCTTTTGTAGTGACTGGGTTTGATCTCTGGGGCTCTGTGTTTGCAACAGGAATCGTTTGCACATTCTACTGTAGTTTGGTATGTACAGGGCTGTGAAAAATATTATGAACTACTTCCTAATATGGGATAAGAGGGCATCTAATTATGGAGGTACTAGCTATTCCAAAACTAAATGAAAGCATATTGCCTTATCTGATATAATTTCTTGAGGAAGATTATTTGGGCTCTGAGCTTACTCAAAAGAATAAAGCTTTATTTTTTTGTGGTCCCTATGGTAGCTAACTGAGTGTGCAACTATTTCACTATGCTTGGATCATTGCAGGGATCTGAAGTACCTCAAATTTCATAACTCATTTTGATTTATGCAATGTAAAAAAAGTATAAGTCTGTCTGCATAAAGAATCCAATTTAGGACTATAAAATAACCCAATTAACATCACAAAATAATAAAATTTGTTCTGGTGCATATAGAGTGGGAAAGGTACTTTTTTGCTTTAGACTTTTGAGCATTTCAGATTTTGTACTTTGAGGTTACTAGCAACTCCACGATAAAATTTGCACAAACATTTCAAATTCTGTAATGCTCTGAAATGTGAAACACTTCTTCACCAAGGATTTCATCCAAAGGATTCAGGAGTTTTGGCACTTGATAATTGTTGTTTTAATATGATTTATATGTAATATAAAATTTGTCTATTTGCTCTATTTTGTCAATACTTATTTTCCTGCTCTCTTGCTTAGATGCATTGAGATTCTTTATTTAAACTCCACTTTTAATTTTAACTTTTATTAAATAGATCCTCTTGAACTTTTCCCATGCATTCATAAAATTCAATTTTTAAACAATTAAATAATGCCCCAAATTCTAGAGTTTTGAAACCTTTAAATATGATAGTTATCTTCCTAATTCACATGTTATTGTTTCATAATTTGGAAGGTGTTATTATCCTTAAATCCAAAACTATATATAACAATTATTGTGTTATTGGTAAATTTTTACATTACAAATAGCAATATAGAAACTTTAATAGCATACAAATCATAGAACAAAATTTCATGTTTTAACCATGTCTGTACCTCCAGTCTTTCTTACACAACCTGTATTCCTGCAACAATCATGTATTTATGTTGATTGACTGATAAAATTCTTACTTTTGACCATTTGTGGGGCAATAGGTTTGTTAATGTGTTATTGAAATTATTTTATTAGGTGTATCTGAGTCTTTCATCTAATTTCACCTCACCATGCTGAATCTCTTCTCTTTCTAGTCAGGCAAGAAGTGACAATGCTTCACCAAAAAAGCAACTTATTTATTCAGCAGTTGTGGAATATTACTTTAACTATGTAAAGTTGTGCTGCATTTTATATTGAAAAATATTACTTTAGTCATGTTTAGGTGTGTTAATTTGTTTATGCTGAACTTGTTTAATGATGTAAACATGTGTTGCTTTGCCTGCCTAAGGCACCTGATTGGTCTAATACAAACCAGAACAGCCGATAACTAGGCAGTAGAGGGATATTTAGGGCTGATAGGCAGAGAGAATAAATAGCAGGAGGCATCTAGGCTCGAGAGGAGAGAGAATGATTGAGAAAGAGTGGTGGACATCCAGGGCCAGCCAGTTTGGCAGCTGCCAGCCAGCCAAACAAGGAGTAGGACATACAGAATGAAAGAAAGAGAAAAGGTCCTGAGGCAAATGTAGATGAAGAGAAACAGGTTAAATTAAGTTATAAGAGCTAGTGGGACAAGCCTAAACCAAGGCTGAGCATTCATAATTGATAATAAGTTTATGTGTCTTGATTTGAGAGTTAGTTCTCGGTCCAAGAAAGTCCACTGCAAACAGTGTCTTTCCTAGTGTACTACCGTTTACTCTTGGATCTTGTGGATGCATGACACTTGGGAAATAATCAGTGGATGAGAGTTTTAAAAGTGGTTCCTGCTATCCAGGTTATTTGCAATTTAGTGTGGTGAACAACAGATCTCATATTAACAGAGACTAATTAAATCTAGTGGGGTGGGGTAGAGAGAGAGAGAGAGAGAGAGAGAGAGAGAGAGAGAGAGAGAGAGAGAGAGAGAGAGAGAGAGAGAGAGAGAGAGAGTTTTAACACACCAAATAGCAAATGGTCAGATAAGACTTCATAATTATTACAATCAGTTAGGACTTCATGGTGACCATATTTGAATTTAGAAGGGCATTTCACAGTATGTACTCTTAAATGACCAACTGATGTTCATGTATGTGAGGGTATTATACAACTAATGATAAGTACTCTGAAAATGAAATCATTTGATATTTTGTCTTCATAGTATTGAAAAACTGAGGTTTGAATCAGAAAGGTTTAATGATGCTGTAACAATAAACGGCACACTTACTGAAAGTAAAACTAAGTATTTATTGTAGAAATTACTCACAAGATACCAAGAAAGTAGCCCAGATGAGCCCAATAGTTTTCCGCCGCTGAAACGGAAGCCGAAATCCGGGAAAAGAGACCAAGATTTCCTTTGTGCAGTCTTTTATGCCTTCCCCCGTAACGCCCCCTAGCCATGCCCAAAAGTGGGCGTGGCTAGTGAAGTAGTTCACTGTCTACGTACATATACGTCTTTACATCTGTCCGTATACATCTTTAGTCATGCCTAAAGTGGATGTGGTTAGCGGTGTGGTAACCGCTCTTTTATAACCTCATCTGTATGCACCTCTAGTAAGTCACATGGTTAATGGCGGCATACAGGCTTCCTCCTACAGTTTAACATCTTTGTTTTTGTTTTTTGAGTTTTTGAGACGGGGCTTAGCTATTTGCTCTGGCTGTCCTAGAATTCATTCTGTAGACCAGGTGGCCTTAAACTCACATAGGTCTACCCACCTCTGCCTCCCAAATGCTTGGATTAAAGACTTGTGCCAATATGCCTGGTGGGTACAATGACTTTAAAGAAAATCATGCTAGTGCTGTATAGGCGATGTGTGTGTGAGTGGGCACAGGGAGATTTGTCATTTTTCAAACCATGATTTGAAAAATCATATTCAAATATAATGCTTTTAGTGCAAACTTAAATGTTTATCTTAAAATGATGTTTTCATTTTAATTACCAAATAAATGATGGTTACTCTATCACCTTCTTTCCTCTCAAGCTAAAAATAAGTGTGTCAACTTTTCATAGAAGTTACTGACACTCTGTAGGAGTAACAGGATGATAATTCTATTTTTCATGTTAAAAATATCATCTCCTTTCATTTTACTGGCATTTATTCACTTGCAAAACACTTTTTGTAAGCCACTTCATTTTATCTTTCCCTAATTGCCTTTGTCATGTTCAGTATGGTCCTAGGGGACTCAAGTCATGGAATGCTACAGCAAGCTCTCATTTTCCTACTTCCCCTCCACTCATATGCTTTCAGTAGGAATTCTACATTAGAATTATTTGTGAAACTTTGCAGAATCAGGAATAGAAGAACCCAACCCTGTCCTCAATTAATTTAAGATCCTTGGGAGGAATATGGACATGGTTTTCTCCCTGCTCCTTCAACTAAAAGAGAGGCAGGTTTGGTATAATCACTTCTTTAACCTCTTGCCCAATAACTGTACTAAATTTAAATATTAGATTAATCTTTCTGAAACTATGGTGTATTTGCCTGGCTGTCTAATCATTATGTTGCTCTTAAAACACCTTCCTCCACATAGATGTAGAAACTGATATTTATTTTTCTTAATTGTTCTGTCTCTGTGTGTCTCTCTATATCTCTGTTTGTCTCTCTCATTTTCTAAAACATGTTATCACAAGTTACATAAAAAGTCAAAAGTTGTGCAGCAGCACCTGTGTGATCGCTCAATTCTTTCACTGTCTCCTAACCTGTATTTAATGATTCCTGCAGTATGAAAATTTTGTCTCTCAAAAATCTCTCAAAGCCATGGAGTTCTTTCCATCTCTGCCCTGATACAAATTATTGATCATCTTAGGCATGGAAAATGAGAATAAACTTGAAACTTTCTGTTCTACTGCAGCCTTGCCATTCACAGTAGTTGATCCATGGCTACTTTTGTCATCATACAATTCTTTGTTCTAGGGAATCATTTAAGTGGTCTTTTCTAAATCTGTGTGCTCTGACATTCAGAAAATTCATTAACTTGCCTTTTGGTCTATCCACACCTTCCATCTGTACATCCCACTATTATTTCATTTTCTCAGAGACTTATACTTCTTTTTCCTTCATACTCTCCAGACAGATTCTCAAATTGTCTGCTGAACCTCATATACTTTTGTTCATTCCTCAGAATTTACCTTAATTGTGACTTCTTCAGACAAGGACATGGCATCACTGTAGTTCTAAAAAAATAACCAGTCTTTCATTGGTCTTCTCACACTTTTAAGTAAAGATTTGAATTATTACTTAATTTACAACTCTTCTAAACTTATAAGCTCATGAGTTACAGAGGGGACCTGATTCCTTCACTTACCGTTTTTGTTACCATGTGTTAACTCAGAACTTGTCACTTAAAAGATGTTCAGTAATACTCAGGATGAGTTTTGCATGATTCAGTAACAGGGAGACTATCTGGAGTTGGAGGGGTTACAAACCTCATTTTTAATAACTCATACAATTCTCCCCATTTCAGGGAGGTTTAAAAGCAGTGGTGTGGACAGATGCATTTCAGATGGTTGTCATGATTGTGGGCTTCTTAACAGTTCTCATTCAAGGATCAAGTCATGCCGGTGGGTTCCACAATGTGTTAGAACATGCAAGAAATGGATCCCGGCTACACGTAATTGAGTATGTCCAATGCTACTTTTCCACTTTTTATAAAATTTAATTACATGACCTCATAAAATGATAACAGTTGGGCACCAAAGAAACATCTTTTTTTTTTCCATCCTTCCTGTGTCACAGCTTTGATGTAGATCCCCTCAGACGACATACTTTTTGGACAATTACAATAGGAGGAACTTTTACTTGGCTTGGTATCTATGGAGTTAACCAATCAACTATCCAGAGATGCATCTCTTGCAAAACAGAAAAGCATGCTAAACTGTAAGTTGTTTATTAAGAACAATCTCTTCCCTTGGTGAGCCATTACGTGTGTATGCACACATGTGAAAAAGAGAGATAAAAGGAGAGTTTTATTTAACCTGTTCAAAGTCTTTGTGTGCATTTTTGTGTGTGGTTAAGGGTATATATATGTATGCATGTGAATGTGGTGTATGCAGAAGTATGTGTTTGGGAGGGAGGTAAGTGCATACATGTGGAATTTACAGGAGGATGGTGGATGCCTTTTTTCATCACTCTCCATCTTAGTTTAATGAATTACTGTATTTATTTGAGTCAAGGTTTCTCTAATTGCCCTAACTGTCCTAAAGCTTACTATGTAGACCAAGTTGGTCTTGAACTCACAGAGATCTGTCTGCTTCTGCCTCCTGAGTGTTGAGGTTGGATTAAAGGTATGTGCCATCAGGCCCCTCTAGGCCCTACTGGTTTGAGACATGATCTTTCCCTCTAGCTGGAGCTAGTCTGGTAGTCCAGTGATCCTCTTATCTCTTTGCCTTACTCAGTTTTGGATTATAAGTACAGCTATGCCTAGCTTTTTAGATGAGTGTTAGAATCTACAGCAAGTACTCTTATATATCCTTCCACCCCTTTCAGCACTATTTCAGTCAAACATGATTATTTCCATCTTAGCATACCCTGCTTGGCTTTTTGTTAAATTAATGTCTGTCTTCATTGACTAAGAAATAGACTAGATTAGGTACATTGAGTAGGGATAAGTGCAAATCATTTGTTTCTTGTTTGTAGTCTCCATGATTAATGTCCCTGCTGCTGTAGGTTTTTCTTTTGTTCTGCTATGTCCCACTGCCCTTCAGCCCCAAATAATCACAATGACATCATATTAATTATAAAATTGATGGCCAATGACTTGGGCTTCTTATTGGCTAGTTTTCTCTAGATCATTAACCCATATCTGTTTATCCATGCATTGTCATGAGGCTGTGGCTTACCTGTAATCCACCATGTTACTCCTTCAGCAGCATGGCATTTCCTGTCATATTTTATTTATTGTGTGCTGTCTTCAGTGGTAGGGTTTTTTTAATGTAAGGTCATGTGTCTGTGGCTGTGCCACTTCTTACAGGGAGAACTTACTGCAGGATATGAGAATAGGCATAGCTAGAATGTCTGGGTCCCACTAAAAATTCCAAAACATCCCACTCTCTACAGAGAAAACTGTGGCATTTATTTATTATTTTATACAACTAGCAACCCCCTCCTGCCCAGTTTCACACAAAACAGAATTATAACCCCAGGGATGCTTCTCATTATTTCTGGTGCAAGTCTAGTCACTATGACTATTTCATGATTTAAAAATACTTCAATGTACAATTTCTTGTTTTCACTGAATGAGACATAGAATTGTCTTGAAATAATCCAACCATCTTGTAAGTTGAATTCTAGAGTGGGAATTATCATGTCACTGTATGTATATTTTATAATGCAAAATGAAGAGAGCAGACACATTATCTATCATTCTATCAAACCACTGGTGAAATATGAAAAACCCATTACAGTAAGTGACATTTAATAAGTCTTCCACATGTTATCAAGGGATGACCATCACTTTATCAAATGCATGTTACTGAAAATTCATGTTACTTTGATGTTAAAATCCATTTAAAATTCAAGTGAAATATGCTTTTATATAAACTATAGTTAAATATCTATAAGGACAAGAATCTTTTGGTGAAATAAATACCATTCTTCTTTCCTTTTAATATACTTATTTTGTTTTGAAATGGGATCTCCATTTATTGCAGAACAGCCTTAAACTTCTAGGTACAATAATCCATTCTCCTCAGACTACTGAATTGTTAGTACAATTGGTATTTACTATGTGCCCAGTTATTACTTTCTCTTGTGATATGCTGAATTTCTGCCTACTAAAAAATTAGTAGATGTAAGTTAGGAATTATATATTTGTCACTGATTTTTCATAAACCAAGATTAAAACATTGTTCTTGCTAAATGTTTGTCATTTATTAAACAATATAATGCCTAAGGAGGGCAATTCTCCTGTATATGTACAGAAACATACAGGTACCCGCGTACTGGAAAAGTGGATGCATGTGAGCGTGTATACACACAAGCATGCATATTCTTTTCAATATATCTCAATGCATTCACCTTATCATGAAAAAATTGTGTGTTCTTACATGTGAATGTTGAATCATCTTCAAACTGTGACTGGATTTAAAAAAGGGCCAGTCTGAATTTTACCACAATGAAATTTTATTTTATCAGAACAATGAAGGGTACCTGCTTTCAAGTCTTCCTGAGATTAGGAATATAAAGAAAATCTTGAAATTCAAATGCCTGTATGAAAGCAAAGGACTTTAAAAGTAATTGGGCTTATTCACTGTAGACTAGTATTAACTTTGTCGAATAATGTTTAATATAACCTTAAGTTTTTTCATTATTCCTATTATTTTTAAAATACTTGACTTTAACTTTCATCTGCTCTCATTTCCTAAGCAACTACAACCAATGCTTCTCTATTTTTATGTTATTTTATTATTATCTTCCTGGAAGAAGTTATTAAAATGTAAGTTAGCTTTTTTGACAGTTTCATTAATTGAGTAGGGGGAAAACCACTTAAAGTTATATGATAAGAATAATCAGTATGTAAAATATTATACAAGAAAATAGGTCATATGCCACACATACAGCAATTTTGACAAAAATCCCTTCTTTTTACAAAGGAAAATCTATCTAAAATCTTAGTTTATTCAAATTTTTAATTATCCTAAAAAGTGTAATGACTCCTTTAATGTGGTATTATAAAGTGTAATGCTTCCTAAAAATTAGAGAATGTGTCTTCCTTCAGTCTTTAGTCATGAACTTACCCAGCTACAGTGTAGCAGACAGCTTACCTTTGTCCCTTCTTCTAGTGCCTTGTACTGCAACTTGTTGGGTCTCTGGCTGATTGCGGTATGTGCTGTCTTCTGTGGTTTGATCATGTACTCGAACTTCAAAGACTGTGATCCTTGGACTTCTGGTGCTATTTCCGCACCAGACCAGGTAGGTACTTTCTTGGTCTCTCAGCAGAATGGGGTTAATTTATTCTAAGTGATCTTCACTCACTTGCCCAGCACAAGCCTCTGGATTCTTACCTGAGCTCCTGGGTGATGTCACACACTGTATTCTAATTTGTAAATGTGGGTCTGCAGAAAAAGGACAATTCCCTTTGTTCATGAAGACAAAGTCTAAACACAGGCTAAGGCTAGCTAGGAAGTCAGCTCAAACCCATGGCGTTGATTGTTGATGATACTTTATACTGCTTTTCTATGTAGTCTGAGGTTTATTAATGTTTCTTTAATTGAACAAAATGTACACTGTGTTATGCACTTGAAATTATAACATTTAACTGTGCAATCAGAAGAATCAGGAATTTAAGGCTAGCATTGGTTACATAGTGAATTGGAGAGGATACCATGGTCTATATGAGATCATGTTTCAAAAAACACAAAATTAAAGTAACATAAATAAAATTGAACAAATCATTCTTATTCTCATAATACCTATTATTACATATTCCCAGCATGGCATAAATATATCATGAAAGCATAGAACCTTAAATGTGGCTTTGGAACTCAGAGGCAGTGTGCTCATGAGAAGCGTCCACTCCTCTTTTCTCTCCATATGCATTCAGCTGCCCCACTTTGCCATGCACAGTGTCCTTTTCCAAAGCTCTGCATACCTAGTACCCCGAAAGACATATGTTCAAGATAGGTTTTTAGAACTTAATTATAAATTTAGGGAAAACATATAAGTAAAATTCACACATTGAAGATACTTGCAAGTAAGTTTCTCATCTCCTTTTACTGGAATCTATATTTCAACATTTTAGATATTGCTGAGATGACTATTAATTTACCCCCTTCTTGCTCTTCCCTGCCTCCTCTCTCTCTCTCTCTCTGTCTCTCTCTCTCTCTCTCTGATTTCAGTTGATGCCATATTTTGTCATGGAGATTTTTTCCACTGTGCCAGGGCTGCCAGGACTTTTTGTGGCTTGTGCCTTTAGTGGAACTCTGAGGTTAGTATGCTGACAATCTGAAGATGATGGTGGTGGTGGTGGTGGTGGTGGTGAGGATTATCTGGCTGGAATGATGACAGTCACAATCAACCATCTTCTGATCATTGCTGAGTGTCATTGGCCTACTGCAGTGCTGTATTTCTGTTTGATCATTGGTACCACACAACAAAGAAGAATCTTGGCTCACACTCTCATCAGTTTGCAGATAAGAAAACTGTGATTTAATAAGGATGAGAGAGACAGCTAACCTATGGTAAGTAAACTGTGGAGGCCTGAAGCAGACGTATTTTTAACCTCTAATTTAAAACTTCCTGGTTATTGTTTCAACTTTGTCTATATTCATTCCACCACAAAAGACCCAAGAGTTTGCATTGCTCCAGTATTGATCGACAGACTAAAGTCTTCCCCTTACAAACGAGGCAAACTCAGGAGTGAGTACCTGAAAAAATTCAATACTCTCAAATTCTGGTAATACACTAAAACCGGGTGACTGGCCAAAAATGAGATTAGGATCCAGAACTGCAGGCATTAGACCCTAATGTTCCACACTTTGTTCCTGGGGAGCATCATAGTGGAAGATGGGCTCCCTAGGGTTTGAGCAGTTCTGAATTTGTGTCATTGCTGTTGCAACTCACTTAGTCAATACCTCAAGTTAGCTTTTTCAACTGCTCATAACTTATTCCAATGATCAATGTGTGTTGTTGTCTTGTCTGTCTTTCTTGAGTCTCTATTGCAGCTTCAACTTGACTCTTATTCTGCCATTACACTGCCATATAAAGAGTTGCTTCCAGCAACATGACCCTGCATTATGCTGCCTAATTGTCAAGCAATCTTTGAAATATTGAAATTATAAATCATATTTGACAATATCTTATTGGTTAATAATATATTCACTAAGGGAATCTATTCCATTATTATGAGTAACACATAACATATTTATGATGTTATTAACCGTTAAAATTATTGAATCCTTTTTGTGATATAAAATTAAGTAGAACATGTGACAAGTTTCCCTTCAAAATTATCAGACATTTTTCTTATTTTTTAGTAAAATAAGCCATCTTTCACCAATGACTTGAAATATTGCATTAGTCATAATTCTTCTATGTATTTTAAGTATTTTATAAACTCCCCTTTGCATTCTCCTCATGCTCTATAGTTTTAATGATGTCTATGCTTTACATGACTATAACATATAATGTTGTGTGTTAGGACTGAGGATAATTATCAGTTTTCTTTTATACAATTTTCTGTACATTGTTTTTTTCATCTCAATTATTTCTAGTTGATTTTCTAGGATTTTCTGAAAATATTAAAGCTGCAATATTTTCTTTGAGTTTTTCTTCTTTTCTACTAGTTGCATTCCTTTTCTGCTTTCTTATGTAACTGCTTTGTGAACACAGACAAATAACTGAAGTAGAAATCACCATTATATTCGTTAGAAGGAACCATTCTTGAGTGATAATTTTTCACCTTTTGAATGTAATTCAATTATTTAGTGAACTAACTAAATGATTATTGCTCTATGCAAGGAATTTAAATAAGCTCTCATTGTATTTTGCAAACAAAATACCAACTTTCTGATGCTCTATGAAGTCGGAGAGCAGGCAGTGCTGTAATCTGGTTATGGTCTTTGTACCTTCCTGGCCTTTTCTCTTCTTTCTCTTTTACTATTTACATTCCAGCCTCTCTAAGCTTCAGGCAGTAGAAAGCAGTGATCACCTCTGCACCTCAATGTGTGTGCTTGTGGTTTTCCTTTTATTGTCCAGGCCTTTCACCTACATCTCATGAACCTTCTCCTGCCTTTCTTAAAGGTAATTTTTAGTTCAGATTGTTTTCTTGTTTATTTGTTTTTCTGTCTGTAGCACAGTGGCTGCCAGCATCAACGCCTTAGCAACAGTGACCTTTGAGGATTTTGTCAAGAGCTGTTTTCCACATCTCTCCGACAAGAAGAGTACCTGGATCAGTAAAGGCTTATGTAGGTATTGCTGGTAGGACTCCTACTCCATATTGTGGAATTTAAGTTGGCCAAACATCAAAATCCTGCATGTTTTGTTCAGGAGTAGACATAAATGCATGCTGAAACACAGACATGTAGATTCTCACACTTTCAAAGATCTTACCGGAAGGGTACCAGAAAGGAATGACTAGCTAGTTCACCTTGCTGTGGTCTTACTTTTTCAGATATCTCATGTTCTAATGTCTTCACATCAATGTCTCTTGATAATACTGAGTTGATCTTACCAGACATTTTACATGAGGAGATATGCTGTTCATTATGACTGGCCACTTTCATAATTTTCATCTGATCAATGTACTCTAAGTGAATGAGTGTTCCAAGTTTTATTTTTTATTTAAATTATTAAAACAATCTTATTTTATACACCAGTCTCAGTTCCCTTTCCTTCCTGTACTCCCATGCCCCCCACCAACCCCCATCCCATGCCCCATCTACTTCCCAGGGAGAGTAAGGCCTCTCATGGGGGATCATCAAAGTTTGTCACATCATTTGGGACAGGGCCTAGGCCATTCCTCATGTATCTAGACTGAGAGAATATACCTCCATGGGGGAATGGGCTTCTAAACTCATTGCACTAGGGATAAATACTGGTTCCACTGCCAGAAGTCCTATAGACTGACACACATGTTCGGGGGCCTGATTTGGTCCTATGCTGGTTTGCCAGCTCTCAGTCTGGGGCCTGTGTGCTCCCACTTGCTCAGCTCTTTCTGTTGGTTTCCCCAGCCTGGTCTTGATCCCTTTTCTCATCACTCCTCCCTCTCTGCAACTGTATTCCAGGAGTGCAGCTCAATGTTTAGCTTTGGATCTCTGCTTCTGCTTCCATCAAATACTGGGTATAGGCTCATGCTTGTCTTTCTGTGTCTGGGTTATCTCACTCAGGATGGTTCCTTCTAGTTCCATCAATTTGCCTGCAAATTTCAAGATTTCATTGCTTTTTTTCCACTGAGTAGTACTCCATTGTGTAAAAGTGTCATTCTTTGGTTGAGGGACATCTAGGTTGCTTCCAGGTTCTGGCTAGTAGGAATAATGCTATGAAAATTGTTGAGCAAACATCCTTGTGGTATGAATGTGCATGCTTTGATTATATGCCTACAAGTGGAGTTGCTGGATCTTGAGGTAGACTGATTCCCATTTTCCTGAGAAACTGTCATACTTATTTCCAAAGTGGCTGTACAAGTATGCACTCCCACCAGCAATGGAGGAGTGTTCCCCTTTCTCCACATCCTCTCCAGCATAAACTGTCATTGGTGTGCTGTAGTAATAAAAACATAGTATTCATTGTCCAATTAAACATTGTATATTATCTACTTAGCTAGAGATGTGGGCTTATTTGTTCATTATTCACCCATGCTGGAATGTTATGAAGTTCTTATGCAGTCATCTACAGATTCTGAGTTCCTGGGTCCAGTGGTTCTGTCATATCCAGATGACACAGCTTTGCTCTTGTTCTCTCCAACCTCTGATTCTTATAATATTTCTGCCCCTTTATACAGATATTTCTTGAGCTTGGGGTGCAAATGGTGCTATATAGATAGATAATTAGCAGTTGATGGTTGTTAGGTGAGGAAGATACGATTTTCTTTAGAGATGTTGTCCTATGAGCATAGGTTGATCCTGCACCAATGGATGTTCCCGCATACACGAGTATATGGGCATCACTAATTGGACTCAGCGGGTTACTAAAACGTAATAAAGAGGACTTGAAATTTGGAGGAAGTTTTGGGGAGGAGCCAGGAGTAATCAGAGGGAGACAGTGGTGGATTAATATGATTGTAATATATTATATGCATAAATAAAATTATCAATGATTTTTTTTTGGTTTTTCGAGACAGGGTTTCTCTGTATTGTTTTGGAGGCTGTCGGTCCAGCCTGGCCTCGAACTCACAGAGATCCGCCTGCCTCTGCCTCCCGAGTGCTGGGATTAAAGGCGTGCGTCACCACCGCCCGGCTATCAATGATTTTTAATTATTAAAAACTGCAATAAACCATACTGAATGAGGTAACCTAGTCACTAAAAGAGAAATATGGTATGTACTCACTAATTTATGGATTTTAGACATGAATCAGGGGAGTGTCAGTATATTATCCCAAGGCCAGAGAGTCTAGGACACAGAACCTTCATCCAGTGACTGATGAAAGCAGAGACAGATACCCACAGACAAACACTGAACTGAACTCCTGGAATCCAGTGTCAGAAATAGAGAACTGATGGGCAAAGGATTTAAGACTGGGCTGGTTTAACCCACAGAAGCAGTTGACCTGAATAAGGAGGAGCTCTTGGACTCCAGATTGATGGCTGTGTGGAAATTATGGGACTGACCCAGATCCCCTGAATGTGGGTGTCAGTGAGGAGGCCTAGGTAATCTACGGGGTCTTGGGTAGTATTTATCCCTGGTATACAAATAGACTTTGAGTGCCCAAGCCTCAATATGGGAGGCTCTCTCAGCGGGGACTCTTGGGGGAGGGCCTAGGCCCTGCCCTGGATGAAATGACAGTTACTGGAGATCCACCATGGAGTGCCTCACCTTCCTTGGGGATCAGAGTGGAGACTGGGTGGGGGACTGGGGGATCTGGTGGGGAGGAGGGGAGGGAGAGGGAGCTGAGATTGACATGTGAATCAAGATTGCTTCTAACCTAAATAAAAAATAATTTAAAAACCTGCATATTACAACAACTGAAGCAGTTATCACATTAAATTATATTTTCACAAACTTTGCTGCTTTTTGTTTACAAATTTATTTTTATCTTTGATTTTTGTCTGCACACTTGAGTAGAGTGCCCATACAGATCAGAAGACAGTGTTAGATCACTTGGAACTGTAGTTGCAGGCAGTTGTGAGCTGCCTGATGTGAGTGCTGAGGACTGGACTCAAGTTTTCTGCATGATCAATGTGCACCCCTAGCAAGTAGACATCTATCTCTCCAGTTCCCAAGCTTGCTGTTTTTAAAGTGCATATAAATTAAGTCCCTTATATGCTCATTATAGAAAGTAAGGTAATTTAGAAAAACACAATTTAGTTTGTAAGTAAAATGATACCTATCTAATTCTGTGTCTGGTTGTTTTCTTGTGGCAATATTCATTGTGCATTTTCCTGTGTGTGCTTTGAAAACATAGGAGTTCAAGGATTTGACCTTGGGAAAAAGCTCTTCCCTGGTTTATGTTTTTATTTTTTATTTTTTGTAAGCATGAAACTCCTACAACAGTATTGTCACTACAGGGTATTTACTTTGAAAAGCATTTGCATTTCCACAAGTTAGAGTCTTTGATGGGCACTCTTACAGTCAAGACAGCTTTCTAATGGTCCCAGTGTTGACCTTGAGGTTTCTTTTTAACAATTACAGGTACTTTCTCTGCACTATCTGGTCTGCAACCTTAATTGTCTCCTTCAAATTTCTATTCTTTTCTTCATATACTCTTTCTCTCTGGTGTTTTTCTGTTCTTTTTCTTTTTATTGATATTATATATGATAAGATTTCCTCATAGTATTTTCTCCCATCCAAGTACTTACCAGGGCTGACTCTGCTTAGCTGCCAAGGTCAGATTAGATCTTAAATCCAGAGTGGTATGGCCACAAATCATATAACATTTCCTAAACTATTTTGGCCATTTTTACTGTGCAAGGACCATTCATAGCCATTCACCCAACTCTACTATTCACAAATTTCAATTGATTTTTATGGAGGTATGATTATTGTATATAATAGCTGTTTCCTTACGCATTTATTCATCTAATTTCAGATGCTTGTTTCCCTTATCTTTAATTTTTCTTTGTTCTTTTTTTGCCATCGATTTTTCTGCTGCATACTTAAATACATGTTTCTCTCAATATTATTTTGAACTCTATTCAAATCCCCAAACTATAGTTATTTTTATTTTTGGTTTTATGTTTTGTTCTTTACATTTTATTATAAAAATAATTAGCAACATATAACCTCTTATATAAATATATGATTCTACTTTAATTTCTTCTAAACTTTTTCAAATATCTATTCAGTTCTTTGTCAATCCAAGAATCCATTATATTGTTCAACTACTTAAAATAAATTGCAAACACCATTTCATTTTCCATAATCGTTTTAGCTTTCATATTATTAACTACAATTTAATATATGTTTCAAGGCTTTTAATATGAAAATGCATATGATGAGATGATAAACTGTTAAGTACATACTTGTTGGGTTTTGACAAATGCATTGTCCTATCTATGGTTACTATTGCTGCGATGAAGCATTTCATACAGATGGAATCCCACAATGCACCAGATTTTGTAAAGTCTGTTTATGTACAGTATAGGTGCAATTTTTATTTTTCCTATACTTCAGTCATGCTTAGGTGAATGTAAGAGAACAAAACCATGGATTTGAGGCGTCAACTACTGTTTACCAGTGTATGTCCCTGGGCTGCATCAGTGTAAGATAATTAGAAATAAGCTTGTAAAATAATTTTAAGAAACATACTCATTGTTCTTCAGTACATGTGTTTTGTCAACTGTCAAGGTTTCACATTTACTTGAGATGCTAGGGTGTTGCATCTGAATTCACTTTCACAAAACCTAAGTGTTGTTGGATATTGTGTGAATGTGTGTGTTGTTTTAGCTGAATATGTTTTTTCTTTATACTCATATTTCTTTGCTTAAATGAATTTATATAATCTCTGTAGTAAATTGTGGTTGCCAGTTTTTAGGTGATATTTTCCTGATTATTTGCTGAATTATTTTCAGAAATTTTCATCATATTTATTATTCATTGTGGCTTCATTTAAGCACATATAGTAGGATGCTTTAAGACTTGATATTTATGCTTGAGTAAGATTAGATAGATGCAAAAACATTTGCTAACTGGGTGAAATCTGTGGACTTTTATTTTCACTATATGAATTTGAGATCCCAGTGGGTAAATGGGTAGTGTGGCCAGTGCAATATCAAACTACTAGCAGTTACTCATGGAAAAGTGTGACTG